GTGTGTGTGTTTGTGTGTGTGTGTGTGTGTGTTTGTGTGTGTGTGTGTGTGTGTGTGTGTGGACAAAACACTGTGCCACTGTGGCTATAGAAGGCTTATACTGCTGTAGCCAATGGATTTTGTTGACAAAGAAAATAAATAAATGCCATGCTAAACATGTTTATGTCAAAATGGGAAAAGTTCAGCCTTTAGGGTCCACATAGAAAGTCCAAACCAGTGTTTCAGTTTACAACTTACAGAGACAGTCTTGGCATTTACAAGGGGGATTCTTCAGAAGAGACCGGAGTGGCTGCTGAGGAACCACCATATAGCTGCACATTCATCTTTCCATAGCTTTGTTGCTTTCTTCTTTTGTTTGGCCTCCGTAAAGGAAACTCCAAGCGGTCTCTGAAATACAGATAGAAAGTCCACTTTGTGTTTGCCAAACTGTAGTCTAAGCCATCAGTCCATAATGGCTGTTTTCACCACAAAAGAAGCCCTTACAAAACACCTTTAATGATGGAGCAGTGAATCCCATTAGTTTGCATTTTATTTATTTTTTTCTTCCGGGGGTAAACAAACCAGTAAAGCCTTTCACCATCTAACATGCAAACGTACGTAACCAAATTTGGATTAGGAACAACTTGCTCGATGTGCACCTGCAAGGCTCTGTCGGGCTCAAAAGTGAGACCATTTTGATTGCAAACGCTCTCATTTTTTTCAATGTGCGCTCATAATAATTAAATATAGTCGAGCAGCTCGAGTACATGTTTTCAGGTACTTACAGCAAAAGTGCTCCAATACTACATACGCGCGCCAGGTTAAAACAATGTTTATGATTACTAATAACAGTAATGGTTGCAGGCTGGGTCTCGAACTATTATTTGTATGAAGCGATCGCTAGCTTTAAGCGACGGTGCAAAAATGTGTTGATTTTTAATCGTTCATTATTACAAAAATCGACTATTAATCTCAATAATAAGGAAAATAAATGTTCTTTCACGTAAACATATGCTAATTACATTACGTCAGGCGCGCCTCCCTTACAAGAGGCGGCGCTATTAACTGCTACGGATAGTGGGAGGAGACAAACTTAGCGACGTTGTTCCACAACACAATGACTACAGTATCATGTAACAAAGACCATGCAATGACTCAATCTCTTGAGAAAATAAATGAAATCTTTCGGGGTGATATTTTGCTGAAGAACTTAATCGTAGTTGTTCAAAGTATGGGGTCTTTGATGCACCGTGCTACGCGCGTACTTCAAAATGCACGCCTCGAATTTTTATTTAAGCATCTTTAATTTCACCAGTAGATGTCACTAAAGTCTATGTGATGACTATTAGAGTAACTGACCTGTTTTGTCGGCCGCTGCTCGTTGCAAACAAGGTTGCTGTTACAGTAAAATATTTTGCTAATGTCTTCAATCATTGCCAGTCTACATCACACGAAACTACGGTACAAATATTGAAACGAATATACAACATCAAATAATTTATTCTTTCTTAAGACTCACATTTAAAAAATGAGAAAATATCGAAATAAACTATCATTTCAAGGATGCCAAATTTTATTTTCAGCGCCAGAGCGGCAGGGTCATGGCTCCATAATGTACATTAAAATCCACGAATTATTAACCAATACATGATTTCAATCAACGAAGAAAAACACACCTGTTTACTGAAATACAAATGGAAATATTAAGAAAACAAAATACAGTACAGTATAACTTCCTGAGGGTCGCTTGAACTTTCCAGTTAACACTTTCAATATACAAATGACCACTAGAGGGCGGAAGCGTACCGTGAAGATGGACTTCTGTTGTCCACGGCAGCGAGACAAGTGCGTAGGCACCGCCAAGCCTCCAAATCAGGTACGCCTCCAGAACAAGATGACATCTGGTATTCAGTTTCTTTTTCTACCCCCCACCCCCTTTTTTTTTAAACTTCTTCAGAGAGTTTTAATTCATCTCATAACATTATCGTCGTTGTGGTTGAAGTGTGCAGTGGGGATGAATGTCGCCACTCCAGAATATGAGGAAGACTTTTTATATGATACAGCGACGTGACACCACAGCAAAAGATTTTTTTTTTTGTAAAGAATTGGGGCTATGACAACGCCAATCAACACTGAATTGTTTTTGTAAAGAAGCATTGGCAATCACAAAACAATTACATGTGTTTGTTAATAAAGTTGACCAAAAAAAATGTTTGATACAGTCATGACATGATCAAAGAGCTTACGCCTGAGAAAATGTTAACCCCCCAAAATATAATGGCGTAACTAATTACAAAAAGAAAACCTTTCACGAAGAATGCCATCAAGGGTGGAGCAGAGCATGTACAGGCATGAATGTACTTAAATGTAATTCTGCTTTTCAGAAGAGGATAAAGTGAATCACACCATCATACCCACCTGAACCCAAAAGAAAAGGAATTTTATGTGTGTGAAATGATGCAGAGACAGACAAACCAAAACATTGCAGTCGTTGAAAATGGGACATAAAGATTAGTGCATTGTTTGAAGTGTGCAAATGTTCGTGAACTTTAGATGAGGTTGCTACGTTTGCATTGGTATTTGTTTGCTTGTCAACAAACTGTGGAGGAGTGGAAAGAATATATTTGAGTCTGATGCGGCTATGGTTAGAGATTCAGAATGAGGAAAATTATCTTTTTTTATCAGTATTTGTTGAAATTGGTATGGAATTTGCATGCTCTCCCCTGTGATGGTAAATGGGTTGTTTCTCTGTGCTTTCTCATTGAACATATTTGAGGTCTATCTGCGTTTTTGGAATCATTTTTGTGATTTCCGAAATTAATTTTCCCGATTCCATTTCAATGGGTGTCAATTGCTGTTTGCGGGCAGGTACATACTCTACATTTTTAAAATGGCATTTCTGTCACACATCTGGTTAGGAAGTGTGTATTAGACTTAGAAACTTAGACTGTAGCTTCCCCTTGATCCCAAACATGATCAGCAGTAGAAAATGGCGTGATGCATCATCAGTGGCAAGAACAATTCCTTATAAGGTGTGCAAGATCTTACCAAGGTAATTTCCTCCCATGTCTCAGTGCAAATGTAGATGGGGCCCGCCCCACTTTGACTTCATCATTTGGGATTGTAAAAAAAAAAAAGAAAAAAAAAAGAAAGAAAAAAAAACTAATAGTGATGCCTGGCTTAATTTAAGACATCTATCCGATATTTGACTTGTCAGTGACAGAGATATATGTATTCTGTACTCACTGCTTTCTTTGTTTCAAAAGTCACCCATGATCAGACTAAGTCAGCAGCCTTCTTAAAGTCTGTGTGCTTCACTGGCTGATGCCTGTAGGCAAGGCTTGTGTTTTTTTATGCCGCTGCTAGCAAAAAGCAGGTCTAGACAAGACGGCATAATTACTCAGCTTATATGGAAAAGCGGCAGCAGAAGGAGATGAGAAGTTACATTTGATGATAGTCAGGACCTGCCGAGTGCTTTTGAAGTGGTACAAAAACATGATAGCAACAGAAAAGGAAGGAAATGATCAGTGACGCATCTGAACCCTGAGATTTAGATGCTAGCATTGATGCAATTTATCCGCCGTTAGCCAAACTTTGAGCGCCGTTGTCTGTGGATTGTGTCTTGCCCGTTCTTTTGACCCTCCGTCACTCGACTGCATTCATGAGCACTAATATTATCATTAACACGTATTGTATTTCATTTTATTACGTTTTAATTTTTTTA